AGATTGGAGTAGTGTTCCATCTGATTCAGAGCCTTGTTGCAACCACGTAATTGTATGCTAGAGAGGCTTTAAGGGAGCTACGAAACTGCCACTGAGGGACAATTTTACAACATGCTGGATGTTTCTTGACAAGTAACATGACACAAAACTCCATTATGCCCTGGTACAGAGTTGCTCTTTAGCATTCATGAAAGTGGCATTAGCAACACATGCATGCAGCATCTGGATAGCCGTCCAAATCCTACTGATAACAGCCAGGGTAGACACTCACTTTCCGGGGAGAACCTTGTATCTTCTGTGTTCAACTGGATTTGGGGTCACATCAAGTTGATAGGTAGGCAGTGGGTAGGGCCAAAGCTAAGACTGGGAAAGACTCACACTTTCTCTTCATCCTCTTTCCTTTTGGCAAAGTAAATGCTAAGATGGGGAAAAATTGCTCTTACATTGATCTCAACTAAGCCCTAGCAGAGGGCTTTGGAATTAAGTCATGTGCTGGCTGTGGGCTGTTTTTCTCTTTTTTTCACACACATACACACAAACATGCTGGAAAAAAAAGGAAATGGCCTGATGTAACTTCTGGTTTCATTTGCTTATGTTTAGCCATTTGGGATGGTAGTGAGGGAGGAATAAAACTACTTATTTTGACAATTTCAACAGAAAGGAGGAAACCATGAAAATGAACAAAATCTGGCTACCAGTATTAAAAAGCTCTAAAATTAGAAGAGCGCAACAACAGAGAGGAAACAAACAAGGACATCTAATCACCTCTCAACAAAAGATTGCTCCAGGCACTGCCAGGCAATCAAATGCTAATCAAAGTGGTCAGTTGAAACATTCACACCTAACTCCAGCAGACAAGAGTCCTTTGTCTCACCTTGGTCATTCCACAGATATATAAACCCTTTTTTCTAGTTCCAACAGGCCTCACTACCTGTGAGGATGCTTGCCATAGATGCAGGCGAAACGTCAGGAGAGAATGCCTCTAGACCGGGGGTCCTCAAACTAAGACCCGTGGGCCGGATGCGGCCCTCCAAGGTCATTTTCCCGGCCCTCGCTCTGGGTCAACCCAAGTATGAAACTACTTGAAAGCACACCACAACCTCAATCCTATCTCATCAGCCAAAAGTAGGCCCACACATTCCATTGAAATACTAATAAATTTATATTTGTTAAAATTGTTCTTAATTTTAATTATTGTATTGTTTTAAAATGTTTTTTGCACTACAAATAAGGTTTTTGCAGTGTGCATAGGAATTCATTCATGTTTTTTTTTAATTTAAGTTTGAGGGACTGTGACCTGGCCCTCTGTTTAAAATGTTTGTGGACCCCTGCTCTAGACCATGGCCATATAGCCCGAAAAAACCTACAACAACCCAGTGATTCCGGCCATGAAAGCCTTCGACAATACATTAAAACTACTATGTTTTGCAGTGCCTTAGACTCCCTTAGGACATGGAACATATGTAGCCATTGGGCCCCTTTTGGAGAGATTTTGCAGGGTTTTATTGTTATGGCTGATAGGAGAGATAATACCAAGAGCGATCCTTTATGTGAGGCAGAAAAGGTACGTTTATTTTCAGCTGAGACCCTGGTGTGGAATTGTGTCCAAAAGCAAACCAGAGTGCAGATAAAGGCATTGACTTTCCCTTTTGTTCTGTCGCGCTGGGCCTGTAACAGCTGTACTTTTCTATAGGACGTATACTTTAAGCCCAGCAGGAAGCCAGGGGCACCTCAAAGAGAGGTTCTCAGGGATTTTTCTGAAGTGATGGTCTTTAGAGTCTTTAATGATACAACAAAGTCTTTATTATGGAACAAACAACCAATCTTCAATGGTTCAAACAACACTTCAAGGCTTTCTTAGTCTAGTCCTCAATGGACTGGTACCTGACTTTAATTAACTGAACCTTCTCTGTAGGAAATAAAACCTTTTTAACCTCTCCCAGGCTGTTTACTATCTATGCCTCATCGATGTGGGTCCTACTACCGATTCCAAATGCGTCTGGGTATCGAGTAGACCTACCAGCCGAGGCTTGAAGATATTTCAGCTGGAGTTCCATGGATCTGTAGTGCTGTCCTCCCTCAGAGAATTCTTTGAAACTTCAGGGCTGTTTTCCCTCTGATTGCTGTGAGGCTGAGAGGCTGTGAGCTCTCAGCCAGAGCCTTGGGACCTTTTCCCTGGAATTTCTTTTTCCCTAGAATCTCTGTTTCTTGGATGCTACTTTTCCCTGGATGCTCTGGAGAAAAGAAGCTTTTCTACGGGACGAGCTGGTCTACGTCCTATATGAGAGACTGCCCCAAAAATGGCTCCTTTCCCCCCCAGAGCTCTGAACAAGGGGCGGAACCAAAACTTAATTATGATGGACAGGGGGCCTGCCCTATGACTGCAAACAGATAACAGAAAGAAAATAAAGTTGGAGCTCCTGGTACAGCCGTACCAGCACACCTTTTATACATCTTCAAATGCAGGCAAACAAAGAAACATGCTTCTATGTATGTAACATCATCACTACATCACTTTTGCATCATAGAAATATCAAATGACACCTTCTACATCAATGATTCTCAACCTGTGGGTCCCCAGGTGTTTTGGCCTACAACTCCCAGAAATCCCAGCCAGTTTACCATCTCTTAGGATTTCTGGGAGTTGAAGGCCAAAACATCTGGGGACCCACAGGTTGAGAACCACTGTTCTACATACAAGGAGCATGTCTTCATATTTTTTCTAAAGCAGCTTACAGCATTAGAGATAACTAGGATTCAGCTTAGATCTACCAATAGGCCTACTTTTGACCTGTCAGGAGGGAAGGAGATAAACTCCTGACTTCTTACCTCTATTTGTGCCAGGCCTTTCTTATCTCCCCCCTCTCGCCTGTTCACCCCCCTCTTGCCTGTCCCTTGGACACAGATCCTTCAGCATCCTTTTTGTCCTGTCAGCTTGACTTCATAATACAGAGAGAACTTGATTTTTTCTACATTTTAGTGCTTGTAATGTATATACAATATATGTATAAATATCTATATTTCCAATATCCCCACATCACTATCCTTTGGGCTACAAATGGCCCAGAATCTTAAAAAATGCATTGTGTTCTCAAGAGGAGGAAATAAGAAATCAATTCAGAAATTTCTACAAGAGCTTATACCAGAAAGAAAAGATAAAAGAAGAGGATATAACACAATATCTCGGCAAACAAAAAAATTAAAAGAATATCGGACGAGCAGAGAGAAGAGTTAAACAAAGAAATAACAGAACAAGAAATAAAAGAAGCAATAAAATGCCTGAAAAGAAATAAAGCACCAGGTCCAGATGGACTCACAGCCATATATTACAATTTTTTTCAAAATGAATTAATCCCCTACCTTAAAAAAAATCATGAATGAAGTAAGACAAACTCAAAAAATTCCGGAGAATGGACAAAACTAGAAAATGAAAAAAAAAATACTGAATCTAGAAGGAATAGACTTAAGAGCCGGATTGCACCATTATCTATGGTACGAGGGAGTGAAAAAAGAAAAAAAGTTTGGAAATCATTTTATAAGATTGGCAATATACAAAATTTGGGAAAATATAAGAAGAAAAATTGTGAAAAAACTCCATTATGGTTTTTTGAACTGTTAGGTTGGCAGAAGCTGGGACTGACAGTGGAAGCTCATGCCACTTCCTGGATTTGAACCTGCGACCTTTTGGTCAACAAGCTCAGCAGCTCAGCAGTTTAATCCACTGCACCACCAGGGTGGAATTACTACTGAGGAAAAAATACCAAACTTCTGCTGATGGCATTTTTTTGCCATAGAATTGCCTGTCCTCTTCTGGACTCATGGGACTGGAATGAGTATTGGGCTTTTTTCTCAAGGTCCTCCAAAAATAAAAGGCTGCTCGACAGAGATAAAAAGCCACTCTGTGAGCAAAAAGGGTTTTGGGAAATCAGAGGTTGGTGAACAATGGCTGGGCTTCTTCAGGGGCCCACGAATTATAGAGCTTCAGGTAGGAAAGGATTTGTCTTACTCCCTAGACACAATTTATCATCTATTCAAACATTCAAATGCAGCTGGGGGAACTGTCAGCCTGCCTCGTTTGCTGTTTTATTGATTGCTTTTAGCAATATTTTATATTCAAAGATGGTGCTTTTCTTTATGGCCTTACATAGTTGCAGCTGTTGACACATATCCTCTCTCCATGGCTCTTCCCCGTGGCTCTTTTTTTTCAGATTTCAGTTTTCCAAAATGTCTATTATTGGCATTCCCTCTTATAGGCTCTCTGCTGTAAGGAAGAGAGAAGCACGCCACCCTCCAGGCATTGATGGATTGCGTCTCTCATCAGTTCTGACCACTGCAGTCAACAATGAGGTATAATGGGAGTTGCAGTACAACATCTGGAGGGCCATATGTTCACCCATCTCTGATCTACTGACTAGCTAATCCCTCCTAAGACTTCTTCTTTAACATCTGGATTCAGATTCGCACTTTAAGGACAGTTCCTGTTTTGGATCCACCTGCTTTGAGATGCCTTAGTGTTAGAACCTACCAAAAAAACAAAAATCCTATCAACATATCACTCCCAATGATTTTTCATCTCTGGCCAGGCATTCCTTCTACAGATAGTTTGGTTTGACAGAATTTATTCACTTGTAGATTTTGCTTTCTCGGATTCAACTGATCTTTGACAGATGACAGTAATATCGGGATTATTAGATTATTTATT